CAAGAGTGTAGGAGGGAGGGAGGGAGGGAGAGAAGAGGAAAGGGCGAGGAGGGGATGTGTACTCGGGGGGAAGGGGGTTTGAGGATATCCTGTGACGGCGAGGCGAGGCTGCTGCAAGCGGCATGATGGAAACAACCGACCGACAACGCTCCGAAACCACCAGGCTGCTGCATCATGTATGGATTGGTGTATGGGGTGGGGAAGCAAAAATGCAAATTGCGACAACAAATCCATATGCAATTGTTGGTGCAGAAAGTACCTGCACACACATACATACATACATACACACACCTGTCCGATGCCATGAGCTGCCCCTGGAGTGACTGCAAGGTGTCCATGTACGACGAAACCAGTACGGACATCTGCTGCAGCGCTTCCCCCGCCGACAACCCCTCCAAATGCAGCTCACTGGCGGTGCCGCCGCCGCCGCCGCCAAACCCAAAACCTGGAATCAGCAACTGGGGGGATGTGGCGGCGCCGCCGCCGCCGCCGCCGTGCCCTCCCCCTAGCCTTGACAGCCAGGTATTGCTGTGTGCCTCGGCTATGGGGGGCGTGGAGGAGGCGGCCGCGGCTGCACTAGGAGACGCTGTCCAGGGTGAAAACGGTTTAGAAAGGGAGATGGAGCGACAGGAAAAGGGGGGGGAAAAGGGGGAGGAGGTCACGGCTTTGCAAACCCCCGATTGAAGACAATGGCTGACGTCCCAAGTTGCGAAATGGTGTTGGGGGAAAGGACCTAAGCAGCGCAGCGGCGTGAGCTTTGACGGCGCAAAGAACCCCTCCCTCTTCCATACAACCACATTAGGCAGGCGGCTGGCAGAGGTTAAGGCCTGACTTCTGCTCCTGGCCGACCCGGGTTCACATCCGCCTGCCAACCCCTCGGGTGTTTGAGGGGTGTCGATTTGGGAGGTGGCCCCCCATCATATGGACGATGTAGGACGTGATAATATCAACTTGCGAGCTGACCAGGAACTAAGTTGATGCGCCGTTGATCCGCTAAATTTGGTTGGATGCTGGTGGTGAGTTGCCGAACCCAACGAATACATTCTGAAGTCGGATGGGGTGACGGATTAGGGTGCCCCTCTAGCAGGGGAGAGCAGGGACTGCCCCGGGAAAGGGGGCCGCTGGCGAAGTTAACCACCCTGTAACAACATACAACCACATACTTCTCCCCCACACACACAAACACACACACACACATACTCACGGCTGCACCCAGCTCAGTTCATAGAAACATACATACATACATACATACATACATACATACATACATACATACATACATACACACACATACACACATACACACATACATACATACATACATACATACATACACACTCACTTTCTGCAAGCTGGATTCCTGTCGTCGTCATTATCGTTCCGGAGGGCGACGGCTGCAGCCCCGGCCCCGCCACCTGACGTGCCTGGGAGGCGGACATGGAGGAGGTGATTCGCAACACAGGGCCCCCCGGGCAGGGCAGGTTGTTGGCGGCACCCGCCAGTGCGCTCCACTCCTCCGACAAATTGGTTTCGAAGCGGTGACGAATAAGCGGCGCCAGCAGCTGTGACGGTAGTGGTTGTAGTAGTAGTTGTGGTAGTTGTGGCGGTCGTTGTAATGGTGGTGGTGGTGGTGATAAAAGATAAAAGAGGCGGTGGAGGAGCAAGAGGAGGAGGGGAGGAAGGGAGTAAGCGCGATATGAGTAGAGCGCGAGGAATGGGGACCAGGTCGAGAACATATTGTGATACTGTGCATGTGCATATGTACGTAGTGGTATGTTTGGAGGGGGTAGTGTTGGAGGGAGTGTTGAGGAATTGGCATCACGCGCACATCTGCACCCGCGCACTGAACCCGCTCACACGATACGTGGTGTGCGCGTGCGCTGTTGCTAACTTCACCAGTAGTACGACACATCGACATCCGAAACCCTGCTGCCCAGCGCCGTCCCGACAGTCCCCTCACGCCACGCCACGTCACGTCACGTCCTTCCCCACCCCCTTCCCCACCCCGACCCACCCGGCGCATGAGCAATTGCACATCCGCCATCACCAGCTCCAACAGGGCGCGAGGGAGCCGGTCGGGGAAGGCCAGGTATAACGCAATGTAGGTCGCGCTGCTGCTGCTGCCGTCGGCTCCGCCGCCGCCGTCCCCCCCAATGGCGGCCGACGACGGGACCAGATCCGCCGTCACCAGTACGAGCGAATGCGGCCGGCGCGCGTTGACGCGCGCCATGACGTATATGTCACGTGACGGGCTGTGTACGGCATGTAGGTGGTCGTTGCAGTCGCTAATGATCCAGCCGCCGCGGGTTACGCCGCTGAGGGGCGCGGCGGCGGCGGCGGCGGCGCTCATGCAGAGGTCGCGCAGGGCGGAGTTTTGCCGGGCGCCGGCGGCAGCGGTGGCGGCTCCGACCGCGCCGCTGCCGAGCAGCCCTCCGCGGCCTTGCATCAGCTTCTTCTCTTGGCCTTGCTGAAGCAGCACCTGTCATGTCCGCCGGCACACGGGACGGCGTCCCCGACTTGTTGTGCGAGTGTACGCATGATGTACTCGCGCGTGGTGTACGCATGGTTACTTTTGTCTCTATTCTTGCAAAATTGCATCTTCCTTTGTCGAAAGCAAAAGCTGCTACAATGAAGTTACTTCAAATAGTTCTAAGACACATGCCCGTACGTGCATCCGTGAGCTTGTGAGCTTGTGTGTATCTCTCGCTCGCTCGCTCTCACCCGCGCATGGTGTATTTGGGGGAGGTGGAAGGGCACGGGTAACGTACGGCAGCCCGAAAAGCCTCTATTGCGACACGGCCAAGGGTGGGCGAAGGAATCCCTAGCGCTCTTCCAGGGTATCTGAAACACAACACACACACACACACGGTGGGGTATTTTCCCCTTCCCCTTCTCCCCCCCCAAACGCAACCCCCTGGCCTGCGGCAGTACCAGCAGTCAGGCTCGGAGCGCACCTAGCTGCCCGGCTCCCACACACCGCACGACCCCTACCAGTCTCTCCGTACCATAACCCCCAAGAGCGCGAACCCCCTGCATTACCGTACTTATCCTCCCACCCCCGTCCCGGGCCCCCACATCCAAAATCTCCCCTACCCCATGCACCTCGCCAACCTCCTGCGGGAAGCACCCGCGATTTGCCGTACGTCTCAGAGCATTCCTCCTAGGAGCTGAAAATAGAAGTATATGCTAGAATGCACATTTAATGTTGCGTACAACTATCAGCTACTAAATGTTAGACGTAAACTATACATGTAGTAAACTACATAACACATGGCACAAGGGATCACCTACTTGCAACAGTGTGTGTGAAAGCGGGAAAACGAGGGCCTTATACCGCGAGGGCATGCGGTCCAAGCGACACGTCAGCAGCCCGGAAGGGTTCTGGGCCCCCAGCACGCCCGCACTGCGGCTGTTCGGCGTGCAGAGACGTGCTGCACCGAGGCTGCCACCGCCGCCCCCAACAGCACCAGCACTGACGTCCGGAACTGCGAAACCGCCGCCGTAAAGGCCGGCGACAGCAGCAGCAGCAGCAGCGGCGCCGCCGCCGCCGTTGGTCGTGGCGGCCCCGTCACCGCGCAGACCGGTGCCCAGCAGGCTGGGAGAGCGCTCGATGGAACCCGCGGGAGCGCCGGCGTCGGTAACGCCCAAATGGATGCCAGCGGTACGGTACTGGACCCTGATGCCGCCGCCGCCATGCGAGTGACTGCCGCTGTACAGCGCCGTCGCTGCCGTGCCGTTCGCGCCGCCGCTTCCGCCGCCACCGCCGCCACCGCCGCCGGCAACGGACGCAAGGGCCGGGTGCAGCAGCGGCAACGTCTGGGAGCTCGATCCACCCGCTAACGAATCAATGGCTCCAGGCCCGGCGGCGAAGGCCTCCGCCGCCGTCGTCAGGTCCCGAAATACGACAGCGCTGACCTGCTTCGGCGGCACCAACGCTAGCAATGCGGCCGGTGCCACCGCAAACACATGCTGTAGTCGTGCCGTCAACCCCGCCGCCACCGCCACCGCCAGCTCGCCACTGCCCGTTGCCGACTGTACGGCTTGCACCAGCTCACAGACGTGCCGTACGGGCTCGGGGCCGCAGCTGAAAAGCACCCCCGCCAGCGCTAGGACCACGAGATCCTGCTCCAAGGGTGTATGAAAGATGCTCGGAGGCTGCTCCGAAACCCTGTCTGGCCGGCTAAGGTACAGCGTCAGCGCGCCAACGATTTGCTGGCGGCCGCCGCTGCTCGCGCCGGCCGCGGCGCCTTCGCTTGCGTTGGCCACCGCCATCGCTGCGGCGGCGGCAGTAGTGACGACAGCGTTGGATGCACCGGAGGTTGCGCCGCCGCCTAGCGCGGCTACCAGCATGCCAGCCGCTGAGGTGGCGGATTCTGATGTGGGACAAGGCCGGTCCGCTCCGTCGAGGGGTGCCGCCACGATGGGCACCGCCAAGAAGTCCGTGAAGTGGTGGGCGTTATACAGCAGCTTCCAGTCGGCGGGGAAGGCGGCGCCGCCGCCGGCGCCGCTGCGGCGGCAGTGCAGCGACCCCGCCGAGGAATTGCTGCTGTGGTGCGGACCGACGCTGTACGACTGTACGGCCTGTACGGACAACGGCCAGGAGAAAAAGGGCAGGCCGAACCAGGTAAATGAGGCCCACGGGGACAGCTAGTCACATCGCTGTCCGGGACGGTCAGTGCGGTAAGCCGCCGTGACGGGAAAATATATAAATATCTGCGTTGTGACGTTGCAAAGAGTCACCAAGAGGCGTCGTCGCAATTGCCTTTCCCCTGTCACCTCAAAGGGCCTTATGCGTTCGTCAAACGGTCAAATGGTAGCAGCTGAGGTGGTGTATGGGTACGGAGGTATTGTGAGTGACGCGTCGGTGCCGTACCTTGGTTTCCCAAAGCGACGTCAGGCTAGATGGGCTGTTAGGGTCGTACTCCGAGCGGAGGTGTACGGCGCAGCCGGGCTGGACAGCCTGGCGCATAGGGCCCTTGCTGAGCAGCGCAACGAACGAGTCAGCTGCCTCGTCCAAAATCCAAATGCTGGGTGGAAGAAAAGAGGCGGTGAGGCGACGGCGACGTGACGTGACGACGGCATCGTGGCGTCATGACACATGTACGGCAGTGCGGTAACGCAGCAGGGGGAGTGAGGAAGTGAGGGGGGACAGGTTGCAGTAGTTAACGAGAGCTCCGGCGTCGTATGGGGGTTGCGGCGGGGAGGTGAGGGAGGGGGGGACATTGATCGAAAGACAGAAGGGCGCGAGTGCGTGGTGAAGCATACACGTGCCGTGTCAGGATCGTGGCGGTCAAAAATGGTCGGAAGAACTGGGCAAGGGGAAAAGGGGAAATGGGCAAGGGGAAAGGGAGGGAGAGAGTTTAGAGAAGGGCACGTCCTGATGGCGCGTGGGGTCTATCTGTGTGGGTGTGTGTCGGGCAATAATTGCTGTACTTGCTTCTATTGGTGCCGTACGCCTTTTCTGATTACAATTGTGGAAAAGTTTCGGTCGACCCACATAGGATGTTGGTCCCCTGATGCTGCTGCTGCTAGTGCTGCTGCACGCGGGGCTTGAGCAGGGGAGCTAACCAGGCAGCTGAAGAAACGCCTTTGAATCTTCGCATGCGTGAGTACCATGCTTGACGTGCGCTAAAAATGATGCGCACCGAGCCGGAACAGGAGCCCCTCCCGCACTCGAAACGAGCTGTAGGGCAGTGATGACCCAGCTTGCATGGCATGGACTCTACTGGACATTTCGCTTTTTCAATTACATGCATATGCACCAAAACTTCCTTGCCCGCACCTGGCGCATGCAGCGGAGTATGTTTTTGCAAGCAAATCTACGGCATCCTCAATGCGCGTCCACCAATGGCCTTGAAGCAGCGTTATCTTCCGTTGCACGTCAATTCCCTGCGCGTGAAAGGAAGGGGCGACCCGACTTTTCACAAGTGCGATAACTGTTATCGCGTACACGCATTGCTGTGACCGCATCGTGCCTTCGCACACAAACCTCCTTATAAAACGATTTTATTATAGGGACAAAGAAATGCATGCAATGGAGCGACTGGCCTGAACCGTCACAGTCGCAGGTGCATCACAGCTTGCCATGCTTCCCGGCATCTGGAACCAACCTGAAGCACGCCTTGAGCAAGCTCTGATGCGCGACCACCTGCCAGCACGCTGGCGACTTGGTGATTGGGACTGACCGTCGGCGACGGAACCCTGGGTTGAATGCTTGGTGTAACATTATAAATAGAGGATTCCTTTTCGATATCCGGTTTCGTAGAAACAGCAATAGGAAAAGGGGCTTGAGCGTCAACTGCAGCGTGCGCCACGTCTTTCGTGCCAGTCCCGCCATTTTCCCTTGGATTATCACTACTAGGGTTGCGGCCAAAGCAACACAGGAGGCTTGGCATATGCCCTAAGCCCAAGGGCGGGCTACCAAGCAGCCGTGTCAACGGCTAGGTGACAGCGGAAAATCAGTTCATACTGCTGTCAAGGCATTACTGGAAGCAGCGTGAATGCATAAGTTTACACAAGTCCGTCCTTCGAGAACAGGAGCCAAACAACTATAATTTATCGTACACCATTTGAGTTTTCGCAGACGTATAGAATTGTGTTGCATGAAAGGGCCTTTTGATCTGTTATCGGCTAGTAATACTGCAAAAGGGCAGGCGTACCTCTGGCGATTAGTCTATATGGATGTGTGTCAGAATACATCTGGAGTGCGTTTTGCTTGCTTGTCTGGGACATATTTTCTCTGGTTATGCTGCTGTACTAAGACAACACCACCCCGATGTCTTGCGGGGTGACTGACTGATGTTCTTGCATGCCTTCTATGTTGCGTCTGATCGCGTTTCTCGCCTAAGCAGCAGCTGCATGGTTACCATAGCTATCATTACCTTACGAGTATTTACATTAGGCACGCGTTAGCGTTTCGACACATCCATCAACAGCTTCAAGCCGGGCCCATATGCTGTATCCATGACGCAACAAGACACTTTCTGACGCCAATAATAAGTGGAGCACAATCTGCTTAGGCTTCGTTAACATTAGAAACCCCATGTTCAACTGCCGTCAACTGATCGATCGTACTGCGCGGTTTTTAATGCATTCGTGAATCCACACTTGTGTCTTTGGACTGCTTGTGATCAGCCACGCTCAGTTCAACTTCGCTGTCAATATAACTGCTGGCAACTTCAACGGCATACTTCGTTTTTTGCACCGACCATGCTGCCGCCAAGCAACTCTTTCCCGTAAATAAACCAATCATGGCGTTAGTTGAACGAGGAACAAACTCCTGTGTGAGAGAGCCATAGCCACCTACTTACAAGTGTCCATTGGGGTCATGGGATATCTCTATGGGTTAGGGGAAAGGGGGGAAGGTGACGGCCATCAAGACCCGCAAGGACGCTGCAGCTTTGTTTCCGACGCAACATCGCGGAACACGAACATGAATGGTTAGGCAGTAACATTAGTACACATAAACTAACTACGCCACACCAAACTAATAAATACTCCGTTGTATCGCCACCCGAGCCACCCGTCAACACCTCAGCCCCCATGAGAATATTCAAGAATGTTCCTCCTCCCCCTCCCACACCTTGTATCTAGTGCTCAGTCACAGCAGTACGCGCATGTCACACCCCAAACCGCCAACTCAACCGCTCACCAACATGCCTCCACATGTAAATCTACCGACCCACAAACGCCTGAGGTCACTTATCTCGCCAAGCGCCGCAATCCGTGCAGGTGCGGTACAGCATATGAGGTCTCCCATAACAGACACGCATACAGACGCATACAGCGCATACAGAAATCGCGGCTCAGATCATCTAGACACAGAAACCAATGCCACCAATGCTGACGCAGATTCCTGCCAAACCGAGTTTTACCAAGATGATGAAACGAGGCCCGATCCAACTCCAATCCCAGTGCATGCAATGTCTTCCATCCATCCAAAATACATTACGCGATATCCGTGCCTTCCGAGAGCACAGAGCAGAGCTATAACCCTGCTGCGAGCTAGGCCTGCACACACTCACATCCATAAGCAATGGCATGCATATGTGCCGACATACCCACAGACATACACACAGTCACCCGTGCATGCTAGCTACGGGAAAACGTGGGAGCATTGCCGTATGCGGCACGGCCCACGGCTCCGGAAACCATGAATCCAGGAAGCTGGCTTCGGAGCCCAGAGAGAATCTAACCGGGTCGATACTTGGTCTGGCAGGAGAGACAAGAAAGAAGTCTGAGACGTGTGTGTGTGTGTGCGTGTGTGAATGCGTGCTGAGGGCAGCTTCCCGTGCTGCATTTGTCTAGTTCGGCTATATTAGCATGGCGATGAGAGCAATCGACAGAGGGGAGGAGACAGAAAAGGCGGAAAAGGAGGGAAACGATCAGCCTCAAGCCGCCAACGGAAACGCAGGCGAGGCTGCATGCCTGCCTGCATGCCTGCCTGCATGCCTGCCTGCATGCCTGCCTGCATGCCTGCTCATTTCATGCCTACCTACCTAACTGCTAACCTATCTACCTACCCTACCTACCTGTCTACCTACCTACCTACCTACACAGCAAGAAAATGCTGCAGCGGAACGGGAACGGCTATCATCCGACAGCACGTCCATCCTTAGCAGTTAATTTCCTCTTCATGCTGGCACAACATCACCGCGAGCCACAACGGCGGCCATTCGCCCAAACCTGAACCTCGTACTTTGTGCTTCGTGCGTTGTGTGCAAGCAAAGGTAAGACCACAAACCACAAACGAACACGCCGCCAAACACTTTCGAAACTGGCAAGCAGCTCGATAGCCCCCCCTGACATCACAAGACACAAAAAATTAAAAACACAGACGGGCTCGACTTCTCACCCCCAACCAACCAATAAATCACAACACGCGCATGCACGCAGGCATCCCTGTACGAGTTCCCCGCAGGCAACTGTACCCAAAATTCCCATTCACCCCTTTCTCTCCCACTGGCCATCAACAGCTGAACTAGGAAACTTCATAAACATACAGCCTCAGGATAGGAGTACTGCTGACTGTCCATGACCGGCGGATGACTCAGGCCCAAGCAGTATGACCAGAGGCATTGTGCGGAAACAGCTATCCATTCCGATCGATTCCTTGCATGGCTATACCCCTACAAACCCCGATACCCCTATCACGAAGCTCTCAATGTACGGCCGCGGCCGCTGACACCGCCGCTGAGGTGTGCATGGCCATAGCTGGAACATGCCCCCCTGCCATGCGCTCGTAGGGATTGACACTCCACATGCTCAGCCGCTTGTGCCCAGCGTTGGTAGGCACGAAGGGCCGTGCGGGTGATGGGAAGTTTCGGAGCTGCGGTTGGGGCTGCACGGGGGCACAAAGTACGGCGTGCAGGCGGTAGCTTCATTGCTCTGGACCCTGGCATACGATCAGTTGGCGGCTTGGACGTATCAGCCGTTGCCCCGTTGCATCGCATGAACTTGTGATGCCCTCCCTTCCCCTCCCTTCCCTTCCCCTCCCTGCTTTTACCATCTCCCATCTCCCTTAGCTACCCCACCCTCTTAAGCCTCTCAGCCCAAACCTCCCTTGAGCAATGCGACCCTCCTTACCTTCTCCGGCGGCGCTGGAGACGGGATGTATGTGGGCGAAGAGAGCAGTCCGCAGTATTTTCCCTTGGGCGCCGGGTTGTTGGGCCGCCAGGCAGGTCGACCGTCAGATGCAGAGCGGCTGCGGGTAGGGGACTTGGCCGGGGGCACGGCGTATAGCTGCGGAGGCGGAGGCAGAGATGGAGGCGGCGCACGCGCGGCGCGGTGGGGTGCGCGGTGAGGTGAGGTGAGGCGAGGTAAGGTCCCACAGGCAAAGCACAAGCCGGCGGGGGGGTGTAGCGGCGGGAGCAGGGAAGGGCACGCCAAGGATATGCGGGTGTGCTGCAGGTAGGTAAATGTGTCGTTGGTTTTGGGTGTGTCGCAGCTAAACATGCTAACTACACATACAGTGATCGTTCTTTGTGTTGTTTCGTTGATCACGATGTCCGCGACCACCACAGCGCGTATGACACAGGCGAATGTATCCCTTGGCATACGAGGTGGGAATGTACTGCTCAAGAGCTCCGGAGTGAAGGTGTGTCGTGGTTTGCCGTACCTCGCTATCGGACGTGAAGACGCCGTTGGCGCGCGTGCGGCCCCAAAATGGCTTGGGGATGCGGGCACGTGCTTCGTGTTTGAGGGCCTGCGGACGCGCGGAATGAGGCCAGGAAGAGCTCATTAATTTAGTTGAGCTCGAAGGAGATAGATTCTGAGCAACAGCAAGGGTCGCAGGTGCTCAGTGCCGTCAAAAAAAGCAGTCCGTACCAGGCAAAACCTAGCGACATCTCATGGCTACTAATTTGCAGAGTTGAGCTTCTCCTTGTAATTATGATGCCAAATTCTTTAGTATTGTATAATAGCTATTGAAAAGTTTGCGCACCACGCCGACTCGGTCGAAACCGTGCCTTGGCCGCAACGCGACACCCAATATAGATTTGCAGTCATCTGACACCATCGTACCATTACATCTAAGAAATAATTGTTTTTTTGTATCACAACCAAGTTCTGCCCTAACGGCTACGTTAAATGCTCATCGAGCAAGATTACTGTAACTTCCTGTCAGAAAACTATGGAATCGTTATTGCTCTGTCACAAATCCAACGTAACATGTTCTTCTTTGATAATCCGTTTATGCTAGCGCTGTTGTAGCTCTGTAAGAAACCGTAGAAGCGGTAAATTGCATGCAGAAGTAGGTTTTACGGCACCAAGACGGCACCGAAATTATAACAACCCAGCGATTAAAATCGATATGAGCTACGTATATATCTTAACCCTTAAAGTCCTAAACTTCTGACCCTCCTGAAAATCCGCCACGCTGTGTCGTCCATCCTCTTGGCCGTTTCCCCTCAGGCTACGGCTTTTTCTTTCCTACCGCATCAACCCTTAAGCTAGGCCGTATCCGGGACCGCGGATTTTGCTTTCCTTGACATCCCTTCACCTTTTTGTATCCGCCACTCAGCCATCCAGTACCGGCCAGGCACTCACTCAACTACCTAGACAGCTTACATCCACTACCAGCCCACCACCAGCCCACACCAAACCCCTAGCCCCTGGTGGCGCGGCCCCCCCCCCCCACATACACAGCCCACAGCCCGCAGCACCCCCATGATGCATTCGCAACAACCCATTCTCAAAGCGCTCGTACCCGTGCAACTTCCTCCCCGTCATCTCCCCGCCCAGCCCCTAGGGGGCTCCAGCTTCCCACCTTTTCCAGTGTACGACCCCGCTGGTACTCATCCGGTACGTACGTGTACGACCCGCCGGACAGCAGGCGGTACTGATCAGGGTACCTGCGTACGTTCAGTACAGCACACAGCGCCCGGTGGGCCCGGAAAACATTAAACTCAAGAGAGCCGCGAGCCCCGCGCACGAGTAAACCGTGGGTGCTGGTGTTCCCCACAATAAAGATTCTCTGGTGTAATTTTAATTTACTAAAATGTATGTGCGTCTGTCGCTCCGGGAAACAGCCACAAGCACAGCACAGCAAGCAAATCCAAAGGTCTAACATCCCTCCATCCTGTCCCCATCCAGCCCTGCAGTCATCCAGCCAGGTGGGCAAGTCAACCAACTCTCTGAGTGTTCGAGAGGGCTCCCCTCACACGTAGCTACGTGGTCACTCTACCCGGCACACTTACCCGGGACCGCCCTTCCTGGGGGGCTTGGTGTAGATGTTCCCTAGCGCATCCGTGTCCACAGGGGCCGTGATGGGGCTGAGGGGCACCAGGAGGCGGGTGTGCGTGTGCATGTGAGGGGAAAGAGGGGGGGAAATGGGAGGAGGGGGAGGGTTTTAAATGCAAGAAAGCCTAAAGAAACGGTGGGGGGGAGGGGGGGACGGAGGGCGGCGCACAAACACACGCACACATACACACACGCACGCACACTAACCCCCGGGAAGGGCGGCGGGGGCTCACTGGGCGGGAAGAAACACATACTGCCGCATGTTGCTGCTGCTTGAAGCACACGCATACATACAGACAAACGCACCGTCGCGTGTCGCTGTGGTCCCCACTGCCCTCTGGTACGGCAAAGAATAAGCTGATGGGCCCGAAGGTGCCGTACAGGGACCCCGATGCCTTTCCCCTGCGGACGGGTCGCCAAAGAGAAACCGCCGGATGGAGAGCGGTAAGCGAAAGTCTGTCAGTCTGTCTGTCTGTCTGTTTGCCTATCTGTGTCTATGTGCGCATTCCTGTGTTCGTGATATGCTCTCGCATTTTCCAATTATAGTTTCAATTAGCGTTTCGCTCCGTCGTCATCATCATCATCATCATCATCATCATCATCATCATCGTCACCACCACATCTCAATCTCCAGGGCTCTCGCCATTGCTCCATCGGGTCGCCGTCGTCATCACCGCCCTGGGTCACTAGGTTGGCAGAGCGTCAAGACCCAGCTTGTGGCAGTTCCGTCTCTCCCACATACACGGCCCCTCGCCGTCCCATTCCCACAGTATCCGCGAGAACCCCTCCCGGGCCCCAGCTGACTGACCCACACACAAGGGTCGAGAGAGGGGGGGAGATCGGCGGTGGGTTAAGAGGAGGCTTCCCTGTACTCACGGGCGCTGCGAAGGGTTGCTGGGGCGGAAGGGCTTATCGTGGAGAGGCCGACCTCCCGATTGGGGTATGGCCGTACTTGGTTTCGCCCTGGCCGCAACGATGGTGGGTAGGTCCAAGGGCTCCGAGTACTGGTCAGCCTGTGTAGGAGGTAGACAGATAGGTAGGCAGGTAGGTAGACAGGTAGGTAGGTAGGTAGTTAGGTAGGGATTGAGCGGGAATAGGTTTAAAGGAGGAAAATTAGGAAGCGGTGTGCCTGAAAGGAAAGGCAATATGCGACATACATACATGCGCGCGGGAGTTACTCTCTGACTTGGCCCCATAATAATGGGCATCTCCCCTTTCCCGCGGCTCGGGCCTTCCCTTCCGGTGCCTCCCTTCCTCCCTACCGGGGTGGCTAGCTTGAGGCTCTTGTCGAACCAGGTGTCAGGTCCCTTCCCGGAAATCGCGGTGCAGTCAGGAACCTCGAACTGCTTGCCATTGTGTCGAGCTGGTGCGGGGCAACGTGTATGCAGGCAAGGAAGCGAGGGGCGATGTGGTATAGTAAGCCGGGGGATGAGCGATTTGCGCAGACGAGGCTGGGGGGCGTGGTTGTTGGGGCGGTTGGGGTGGTTGCGGGTTGTTGGGTTAGAGGCTGAGGGTGCTTAGAGAGACGGGATGGGAAGGCCTGTGATGAGGGACTTGCGCGTTGAGGTCCACGCGGTTTGGGTGGGTGGCGAAAGGTAGACAGATGGGGTTGGGGATGCTGCCGCGACTTGGGCGCGAGGTTTCGAGTGGTGCCGGACATGTAGGTATAGGCGTGGTGGCTTAGGCCACCCGGAGCTCATGGAGGAATATGGTGTGCGTTTGTGGGTTGGGTCTAGGAGAATGACTGCATGCGCGCGTCCTATTGTCTTGTTTTGCAATAGAGCTTGAGAGAGGGGCTGGAGGTGCAAGCTTGAGGGGGACCTGGCGCGTTGGCAACGCCCGGCAGGTTTGCGTGGAAGGCCGTTCAGCGGGTGGGTGGAGTTGAAGTACGCCCTCGACTTCAGCTGCTGAAATTTGGAATTGGCATGTAGGTAAGGGTTGTTGATTGCTGCGCTCAGCGTTGGTTTCAGGCGCCGGGCGTGCACTTACTGTGGACATCGACAGGCTTGTCATAAGGCTCCCCGCTGACCGCAAGTCCCTTTTCTTCCTGGAATACACCAAACAATGGCTGATCCGCCATGGCTGCGACGATGTCGCTATCTACAGGGCTCGCCTTCGAGGATGTAACATTGACAACGCCCAACGCTGATTCATCGGATAAATATTGTAGAGTTCAGTAATTATTAGGTGTTATGCATACACATAATACAGGACTGGCTTCCTACTCCGCTCCCTCTTTGTTATGCAGCCCTTCGCGAAGAGCCGTAGGAATGGATGCGCAAGTGTGCTTAATCAAGCGGTAAATGCAATGATGCCCAAACGCAAAAATGCGAAAATTCTCCCCGACACATGATGGCTTCGAAGAAGAGCTGAACGCGGGATTTGGCCATCTCCCGTACTTCTCAATAGCGCGCCTAGATAGCAGGCTCCATTGGGCCCCCAGTTTGCGCATGTCGCAGTAATCCTTCATTTTTTGAAGCCGTCAATAAATACCATCAAGCATGCGATACGTGGAGTTGCGCCAGGCCATTGCGCTGACGTAGTACCGGGGACAGCTCCAAAGTTCCCCAGGGCATTAACCACAGATTTCACAGGCAATAATGAGTTGATTCCTTGGCTATTTTAGTAATGTGGCAGTGTCTCTCAAGGCATTGCTATACTTTGCTGTGCTGTAAACTGCTGTACAATCCTAGCTAGCTGTTACCTTGCTTGCGAAGTCCCACCAAGCTCAACAGCTCCTCTTAATAATAGAAAATCATGGCCAGCATATCATAAAATGCAGGAAGCTTTAGCTTATTGTGACTACTGTGTGTGTCTGTTACATGGTCGTGGGGTGCCTGCCCCGTACCTGCAAACCTTCCGATACGAGCCAGGAGCTCAAGGGATGCCCAATTCGAGCCGAGGGCTCAACTGCGACTACTGACTACGGAGCCGGTCCGCTACCAGAGCTGTCCTGCCAGACCTCCCGGACACCTTCCATGCTGCCAAACCACAGTTTACTTTTCTAGTCGAAGCTACCACCCGAAGGATTTCATATCGCAGCTCAGAGCATTTCGCCTTAGCCCGCCCCCACCTAGCTCACCCGGCTTTCACTCACCTAATGAACGGTCCGCCACTGTTTCATATGCCTCTCACTTGGTGGGATTCCCACTGCCGCGATTAGAAGAACAAAATAGCACAACTAATCTGGGTCTTTATCTGGGTTGGGATCTCGGACCTGTGTCACGGTTAGGATGGTGGTGAGGAAGTCAAAAACAAAGCTCCTGCACACAGCTTTCACGCTGTTCCATCCGGCCCGATGCTGCCGCTGCCGCCCCTGCCAGTCATCCGCGTGTGCACAGGCGGTAAGTGGCTCCGGAACCATCCAATTACCATCAAATACATATGAAGGAGCATGGGCCCAACCGAGGAATGATCGCGACTAAAGCACGACACCCACACCGCGCGGTGCAATGGCAACGAACCTGTTGTGGGCTAGCTGGGTAAGGGAGAGCTGCATTTCCCGCCCCGTGGCTTCCTGGAGTGGGGTCTAAAGTGCTAGGCTAAACTTTTGAGGTCAAGTATTTGACGAGCGAGGTGCTTTTTGACGCGCTGCAAGGCGGACACTGGAGGACTGGCGGAGCTAAGTACCGGTAGTCGTACTCTTTTGCCATACAGCACGGATGGGCGACGTTATCGCATTAAGCACCTGCTTCGTTTACTTCAATCGCGAAGTGCGCGCCGTGGCAGGTCCTGCATTTCGCATACACCTTAGGCTGCTGGCGTCGAGGTCACCAATTGCGCACTAGGGCGCTTGTTTGTCTCCAACACAGTACCCAGCGCGATTTCATAAGCAGTTTGCCTTGATCAAAATGTTTTGAACTGAAAAAACGTGAGGCCTTTTGTCGCATTTGGAACTCTCGGAACTGGACATAAATTGCACAGGCACTGAAGTCCAGAACAGCAACTTGAAATATTGTTCCAAGTGGAGAGCAAGAAAGTAATAATGGAGGTTGATGTGCCTGGGCTAGGCGCCTCTGCGGCCGGTTGCTTTAATTACGTGGTTACCGCTCACAAGCCCACGGCGGTGACACATGCTGTGGTGGCGAGCTTCACAGGGCCCAACGATGTAAATCTTATAACAGCGTAAGTTCCGAGCGCACTGCTCTGCACTCGTCAACCCCCCTCCCTATCGTGCCATAATCCTTCGGCGTCACGGGCGCCTGAAGGTCCCTAATCCATGCGAGGCATCGAATCCCCCCGGCCCTCTCGGTATCAACCGCAAAAACGCATGCCTCTAAATCCCATCCTGCCTACCTGCCTTCCTGAAATGCTATTTGAAATTCGCTTGACCCGGCTACCCTGTCCGCTTTCTCGGGATTCATGCCTCATCCCCGCTCATCCATGTCACGACGCCGTTCCATTGCATAGTAACCTACATCCGGAAAGAATCCGGTTTCCATCTGGCTCCATCATGCTAGCAAGCACCTCCTCATTTCCTACCGTCCCCTCACCCCCACAGTTGCTCTACACGCCTTGAGATCCGCACGCTGGGGCCGCAGGGGCTGTCGGTAGGAAAAACGGGGAATCCAAATGCTCCTTTGAGCAGGTTGCCGGGACGTATGCCGGACGTTGTACAGGGGGGGTTCGTGGGGCCTTTCCGATCGCTACGCAGACCAGGCCAATAAACCGTTTGCATGAGGCTTGAGATATAGGGAGGGAAGCGAGGTAGTTTTCGTGGGCATAGCTGTGAGACCGACTCCGTCCGAAATATGTGCCTGAGAGCAAGGTACAGACTCAGCAAGGTGCGGCGATGGGGATTTTCCTGTCTGGCCGGACGTGAGACAGCGGGCCAGGACGGCACGGCACGGCACTGCCCGGCCGGCGGCCAAGGGGCCCCCCCGCAGCGATTTCTCCAACGTCACGTCACGGAATTGACATGAGGACGAACCTGCGATGTGGGTCACCCTAGATGTGTGAAATTTTCCTCAGCCGACGAAGTCCCTGATAGGGCTCCTGATAAAAAGCCGACCCAGATCATGAAGGGCCAGGCAAACAGCTGGCCAAGCCGAGCCCCGGGGTTGCTAGATAGGCAATTGGTAGAGAGGTCGGGTAGGAAGTCCGACCAAAGGCCATTTTCATCGGGATTGGGAGTTGGATCAGTTTGGTTAGGCGGGCGTTGTGAAGTAAGCAGGGGAGGAATCAGGGTTGAGGCTGAGATGGGTCCAATAGGGCTCACTGGCGAGGGTGGTTACCGGTGCAACCGTCGTGTAGACTTCCTGGCTGGGTGCAGGCCCTCTGGTGGGGGCCCCTGCCGTCCGGCTGGCTGCTAGGCTGGCTGCTAGGCTGGCTAGGGAGTTGCTGGTGGCATGGCTAGCGGAGCAGGATTGCTCTGGGGCCTTGCCGCTCTGGGGAAGATTGAACACCCCATCCCCCCGCACACACACGCATGCACACATAAGTTGCCAATTCTGGGGTGGCACGTTGCATGGCAACAGCGCACGTGTGGCCTTCCTTAGGTGCGTTAGGAAGTCCGCTGCGGGGGCTTGCTTGAGCATGGGGCCGACGACGCGGCGCCACCCATACACGTCACATGTGTTTTTCCAACCCCTTCATCTCAATTTCCCCTCCCTCTCTCCAACCCCTTTGTGGTTCGTCTCATCCCCCTCCACAGGCCGTTCTAGACGTGCCCATCTACGGCAATATCAGCGCCCTGCAGGTCTTTCGACCCCGGGTGAGTACTGCACCTGTACTGCATCTGTACCGCTCTACTGTAATACGGCAGAGTATTGTACTGTGAAGTGTAACCTACCGTTGCCGTAGTGCTAGCGCCCCGGCCATGTAGGCTTTAAGTATAGGCCCACGTTGCTGTGAGTCTTAGCTGCATGGATGCGATGGAGTCGCGGGCAGTTATGCTTGCCGCGACCCAATTCGTGTTGGGTATTGTACAGCCTTTTGGTTTGCTTGCGTGAAGATGGCTTTAAGGAGAGCGTCAAAGTACGGGAATGTGACCCAGTCGCGTGTCGGTGGAGCCGAAGATGCAGGTCCCTTGGTCTCGGAGCTCGGCTCGGCACGCGGCTTGGTCCCGTCGAGGTGTAGAAGTCGCTTGTTTCATCTTCCTCTGCTGTCCCAAACTTCCATCTCCTTCAACCAATTTGCCTTTCATCCCCTACACCCTGCTCCCTGGGCTATTGGATGGTGTGAAAAGCAAAGTGCGACGTGGTGTAGAATTAACAGCAACACCTAGGAAGGAGGTTGGGCGGTATCCGGCGGTATGGAGGGCTACGGTGGTGGTAGCGGGGTGGGGTGTGGGATGGAGCCTGTCCACCCCGGAGCTCAGCGGTTGAGACTTCTTCAAAGATCTGCAGGACCCGTACCTCTCGCCTTCCTCTCCCAATCGTCCCCCGAATCGCCACACCGTCTTATGTGGCCACCTGGGAGTTGTTTGACCACCGCCCACCTCCGCGAATGCTGTCCTTGGACCTGCCCCGCCCACCCGCCGCCTCATTTAAACCGCCACCACACCACATGCCTCTGTTTACCGGGGGTCGTGTGGAAATGTCCCCTCCCAGGACCTTCATGCGGACTTGCTTTTCATCCTGACGGAAAAGTACAAGTTTTGTGTACTGCAGTACGACGCAGCCAAAGGTGAGCTGCTGTCGCTGGTGCTGGTGCTGCTGCTGTTGGTGGTTTTGCAGCGAGTAGTGGTTTTCCGAATTTCAGTTTCAGCTTTCTTTTATCACAATAAAAACGTGTTCAACGAGGCTGTGGCCTACATGCCGCCATCGGATGACGATGTCGCCAGACACCAGAAGAAGACACGAAGAACGTTTTGTTTTCCTCACCAGTGCGTCTATATGAGGTGAAGGAGCGGCGGGCAGGTGTTCTTCACAGCTGCATCGCGGCCATGCTATGGTATCGGCTACCTGGCTTGGAAGCGGCCTTCCCGGGACTCGTACCTCGAAAACCGTGTACCATCCTGACTTGACCGGCTTTACGCCGGTAGTCCCGCTTTCCTGTCGGTTGGCGACAGGAGCTTCAAATTGGCATTGCTGAACTGGGTTCGTTATGGTTGATAGCGGTTGTCGGTTGTCGTACGCAGGTCAGCTTTTGACCCGTGCCAATGGTGACGTGGCGGACCGCATTGGTCGTCCCGCTGAAAACGGGCAACTGGGAGTGGTGGACCCGGCATGTCGCCTCATCGGGCTACACTTGTACGACGGAATGCTCAAGGTACGGCATGTTTACGGTAGTTTACGAAGATGAGATGAGCTCGTCGCTCTTCCCGATGCGCACATCGTACATCTCGGCCCACCATTATTTCCTTTTCAACATGCCGTTTCCACTTCCCTACGACATAGCTGGTGTATCCTTGGGTGTATCAGCGAAGGGGCTCCTTCACTCACCCTCACCCTCCAGACGGAATTCCGAAACCCGCGAAATCTCGTCCCCGAAGTCGCCAGATCCCCCGCCTCCTTCCTGGATCTTCCTTCCCGGTTTGCGTTCCTTCCTCCCCTCGTTTCCTCCCTCCCCTCCAAGACGCCGAGAGATCTTTTGTTTTCCTTGATTTTGCATCCCACACATCCGAACCCCCCCCCCAGAAACGTTGACAATTGACCTTTTGCTTCTTGCATGTCTTTTAGACCACCATCATCATATTGTGACCGGCAAGGTCAGCCCCAGTTAGGTTTTGACTCTCCCACGTGATTTCTCCTTTTTTACCTCCCCCCCCTTCCCCAAACGCCAACCCCGCGCTGAAGGTCATTCCCATGGACGACCGAAGCGGCCAGCTGTCCGAGGCCTTCAGTGTGCGGCTAGAGGAGCTGTCCGTGCTGGACATGGCCTGGCTGCACCCGCAGCCCCCGGGGTTAGGGGCGGGACCCAGCGGGGCGGGGGGCAGCGGCGCGGGGCCCAGCGGAAGCGGTGGCGGTGGTGGTGGGTCCCCGGGCCGGCCGCTGCTGTGTGTCCTGCACCAGGACCCCAAAGGTGCCCGCCACGTCAAGACCTACGAGATGCAGCTGGGGGCTAATGTGAGTTGGGTCGGGTCAGGGAGGGGGAGCGGAGAGGAGGGTGTGGGATGGGGATGGGGGGACGGATGGGTTGCTGTGTGTGTGTGTGTATGTGTGCCTCTAGTCCCGTGTGTCTTCGGATCCTCTGGAATTTTTTCTCCCCTTTCCCCCCGCCAGCCAGCCAGCTCTCCCTTACCCTCACTCATCCCACCGGTACGCGCAGGACCTCTTAGACGGTCCCTGGCAACAGCAGCATGTCGACAGCGGCGCGGCGCTGCTCATACCCGTACCCTCGCCACTGGGGGGTGTGGTAGTTGTGGGCGAGAATGTGGTGTCGTACCTGGGAGGCCCGGGGGGCCAGGCGCCCGTGTCAGCGCCACTGAGGCAAACCATCGTCACGGTAGGTGGGGCTCGGGGCTCGGGTGGGTTCTGAGTGTCAGGTGGCAGCACGGGGCAATGGGGGTGAGGTGGGGCTCGGGGCCCTAATCACCCGCCAGCTTGGCTTGTGTAGAGCTTAAAATAGAGCATTCGAGTTTGGAAACTTGGATGATGTTGGAGTGATGGCCGTCGTCATGGGGGTGGTCGGGCGGGCGGGCAGGCGAGCGCGGGAGGGTTGGGAGGGGGAGGAGGTTCGCGTGGCGTTTTTGTGTTGCGGGGCTTCGCAAGCATACGACTACTACACCTTGATTGGGCCTAGGGTGCCGCACTCCTCGTTGCCTTTTCTTCCCGGGGCGATACACGCGGTAATGCTTACTGGCACACAGCATTCAACAAGTTGCGCCCCGCTATACACATCTCCGTGCACATTTCCAAAATCCAAATCCAACCACCCGCCAGCTGCTGTCCCTTGCTGTCCACCACACGCAGTTTCTCGACCTCATCACTCCCCTTCCTTGGCTTCCTCCTCCCTCACCTGCTCCCTCAGATCGACTGTGGTTCGTCTTTCCCTCCCTTCCTCCTTCCCACCCTCCCTCCCTCCCGTCCTCCTTCCCTCCCTCCCTCCCCCACACCTCCTTCCCGTACTGCCCTCCTCCCTCTCCTCTTTCTCTCTCACTTGGTACTTTAGACTTTGCAAGTTTTTCCCTCGACGTGTGCACATACTTCCCTCTTCCACCCCTCCCCCCTCCCTCTCTCTAACCCCCTCCCTCCTTTCGCCCCCCCCCATTTCCAGGCCTGGTGTCCGGTGGACCCGGATGGCTCTCGCTTCCTGCTGGGGAACCGTCAGGGGGGCATGCAGCTGCTGGTGCTAGCACACGACGGGAGCAGGGTCAGCGGACTTAGAACTGAGCCGCTCGGTGAGGAGTCAGGAAGTAGGGAGGGGACGAGAGGATGGTTCGAGCGGGAAACAGAGGAGGAGGAGGATGGGGGAGGAGGAGGAGGGGGAGGGGGAGT